GAAAAAAATGCTCGATTATATCAACCATTAGATCGTGCATGGTGTGCACGACATAAATCAGATTCCGAATGGTTACAGATTGATTTGGGTATTGCTGCTAAAGTTAGTTGAAAAATTTATTTTAAATTATAAATTATGAAACAAACAAACCAACATGTTTTATTTTAGATATCAGGTGTATTAACTCAAGGTCGAGCTAATAAAGAAGAATATGTTATGTCGTTTATGGTATCATATAGTACTGATGCTTTTCGATGGCAATATCTTGTTGATCGATATGGAAATCAAAAAGTATGATATATTACTGAGAAAATTAGTATTTATTTTGAAATGATAGAAAATATTTGTGATTTAATAAGAAAATAAAAAGAAATGACGTATAATATACATTTGATTGAAATAAACGTTATTTCTTTTGTTGATATCTATGATTGAGATAGAATTTATATATTTTCCTTTTGTTAGTTGATTAAAATGGTTACTAGTATAATTTATCGGTTTCGATCTGACTTGAGTGAAAAACCTCTAGCAGTGGTTTTTTTTTTTGAACAAAATCTAAATTTAGATGGTTGCTTGAAAAAATTTTACAGATATAAATTTTTATTTATCGAAAGACCATCATTTTCTATTGTAATTCATTTGTGAAAAATACATTAATTATTCTATGACATATGATTTCAAACGATTGCTTTTAAGTATGATCCTTTTGAGACTGTGATGAGTTAAAATATTCTATTCAATTTGGTATACAACTGCATCTACTTTGTTCCTTCTTTTTAGTGTTAAATATCCAAGATCGATAGTAATCAAGTATTTTCAAGTCTATTGCTGACATTAGTTGTCTTTGATAAATATTTGTCAATCATTGGATGGCATGACGAGATGCCTGGAGAAAAGTCATTTTTTAACCTTCAATCAAATTGTTGTAACTCAGCCGAAAATTGTCACAGACAATTGTTTACTCTAATGTTCTATGTAGTTTAAACAAAATTACTGTTACGCGCTCTAGGTGTTGAAAAATTATAGTTTTGGTTTTTTGTAAGTTCTTATATTTGAGAATCTAATTAGTAATAATTTTTATTTCCTTATATTTTTCTTGAAAACAATTTTCTTGATTCAAATCACTATTTTGGATTGTCTCTAACACTTATAGCAGTAAAAGAAGTTGAAAATAAATCTTGTTGAATAATTTCGTTATTCACTTTATGTATCGACTGTCTTATTGACAACAAGATTATCAGAAAATTCTATCCGTTCTTAAGAATTCAATAAAAACTCGTTTTTTTTTTCTTCTCTTAAATAGGTATTTTCTGCAAATACAGATTCATATTCAGTTCGTCATAATTATTTTGATGAACCAATTATTGCACGTTTTATTAAATTTCATCCAATTCAATGGCATTTACATCCATCTTTACGTGTAGAAATTATTGGTTGTCAAGGTTCTATTAATTTTAAAAGTTTTCATTCAAATTAGTGTTTTTAATTTTATTATATATTTTAGAATGTAAACAATATTTGGGTTTACCACCATATGGAAAAATCAGTGCATCAACATCATGGCCATATCGTCGACATGCATCATGTCAACCCGAAGATGGTTATATAATGAGTAATAAGGGATGGTGTGCAAGAAAACGATATAGTAAGGTTTAAGAAGAAAAAAAGAAAAATAAAAAAAATATTTTTCTCTAATAAATTATTATTTTTAGAACATGATCAATGGCTTGAATTTGATTTGGGTCATCCATCGATTGTCACATCATTGATAACTAAAGGTCGAGGTGATACATTTCAAGATCAATGGGTTACAAAATATAAAGTGTCATTTTCAAATGATACACGTTTATGGGTTTATTATAAAGATAAATCACAAATTGAACCAAAAGTTTGTATTCCTTTTTCTTGTTGTCTTTATTTCATAAAATAAAATTTTTTATTTATCATAATTTTATTTTTTTGTAGGAATTTTCTGCAAATAATGATCGTGATAGTGAACGTATACATTTTTTAAATGAACCATTTTTTGCTCGATTTGTTCGTTTACATCCAACTGAATGGCATAATCATGTTAGTATGCGAGCAGCTATTTTAGGATGTCCACATCAAGGTAATTTTATTTTGAGTTAAAAACAAAATTAATAAAAATCTACTATTTCATTTTTTTGTTTATAGGTGCTTGTTTTCCAGGTTATTTTCGTGTGAATAGTGAAGCTCAATGCGGTAAAATAGCTTTGTTTTTTTCTTCTTCTAACTAATATGTTTGAGAAACTATTTTTTTTTTTGTTAATAGTGGAAAATATGGCATATAAAAAACAAACATGGACAAATGATCGAAATCGTCGTCAACAACCAACTGTTATTGGTGAAACAAAATTTCGTAGTGCAAGAGAAACAAATGGTGATCCATCATTAGCTGTTGATGGTTTAGAAGATTCTTTAGATTGGTCAAAATGTGCAACAATTGATAATTATTTTGTTCGAAAACCTGTTTGGATGGTTGATTTAGGTCGCATAACAAATGTAGCTGGTGTTATGTTACGAACATGGCATGGAAATAATAAATGTATGAAAATATTCAATTGAATTTCAAAAAATAATTTTTTCTTTTTTTTTTTTGTTTTGGAATTATTTTAGCAAACAATTCAACAATATCATCATCAGTTTATCGAGATTATTTAGCAAATTTAGATCGATATAATGTTTATGTTCATTATCGACCGCGTCGATATCGTTTTAATAATGCAAATCTATGCTCGTTTATAACACGTACTGATCAAGCATTAACTTCATCATCTCGTATTCATTTTCAATGTCAACGTCAATTACGTGGTCGATTTGTTTATATTGAAGCTGATGGTGTAACTGATCGATGGAATAAACTATTTACTGCCGTTCTTTGTGAAGTGTTTGTTTATGAGCAGTAGATATAAAATTATTCTTTTTGTTTTCTTTTTTTTCGTCAACTGTCAGATTTTTCAATTCTTATATATGAGTGAGTGTTTCTATGTCTGTCTTCCAGTAGATATTATTCATTTCTTTTTTTTTTGCGTGTATTATATACAAAGATTATAATATTGAAAAGAATAATCAAACTTGTTTTTTTTTTCTCAAAATTGATTGACATCATATAAATGTATAATGCATAAGTTGAATATAGTTTTTTGGAAGGATATGAAATATACAAGAAAGAATTGTTTCGATTGATTTATCTTTCTTGAAATAAAGTTTGTTTGTTTTTTTTTTTTGAAAAGAAATATGTTTTTAATTTTATTAAAAATGATTATTAGTTTGATGAGTTATTTTTTTTTTCATCTGTATTAAGATTGAATCAAGAATAAAGTATTAATTAAAAAAAAATTGATTTTAATTTTGCTTGCATATGAATTTCATAAATTAATCAGTTCAGTTTTTGAAATTTCAAAAGTGCAGCAATGAAATCTTGTTTAAACTCTATGAACAAAACTCGAATACATCGATCATTTGTATCCTAAATCAAGGACAATGAATGTCTAGAATTTAGAATCTTTCATAAATAATAGAATTTTGATCATTTCAAAATAGCTTATAAAAATCTTCATGGTTATTATGTTATTAGGAAAGTTTCAAAATGAAATGCTTACTTACAGAGTTATTCTCACGAGGTAATTATTCGAACTAACACCTGCCGTTTGAGGTTATATTGAATGTGCAGGAACGTCTTGATGAAACTAGGAAAAGCCTAAAAAGGTTTTTTCCGGATGTGCGTTTGAAGTCGAATTATGATAATTTTCTTGACCTTCTAACTCAGTTTCAGGTATATATATTAATCGACTAAAACTTTGAGAGTACTCTGCGGTTCATTTGATCGATCTATAAGCAAATTTGCACATCGAAATTCTTGGTTTTTTTTATTTGAGGTATATACCTAAAACTCAGTCGATAATTTTAGGCATTTACTAGTCTCATCAAAACATTTCTATGAGATCAATATGTGTTCAAACAATGGGTAACAGTTCGAACGACTTCCTCATCAATGAATACTACTATTACAATAGTCCACTTTCAAGTTAATTGTGTAAGATCGTAGGAATCTGGCTTTGCTTTTAGAACACAGTATAGAATATTTGCGGCGAATTTTCTTAAAATATAAAATAGTTTCCAACTAATCATTTTGAGTAAACTGCTGCGATTCCTAATATTCCCAGTGCTATCATATCCTTGTTAACATTTACGTTCGAATTATTCAGTGAAAAATAGTGTCTGGAATTTGTGTGCATTCAAAACTTAAATTCTTGTTGCACATGTTAGACGTCATGATCAATTTTTATGAAAAGTTTCGCTGATGGAATGATTGACTGCATGTAATTCAATAGCCGACTAATTGTCGTCTAGTTGCCATGGCAATATTCCTTCTTTTTCTTACACTCAATGCATTAGTCACGATTCAACTCAACCGTTCGTTTTTATTGCATAAGTACCATTTCAATTTGGTAAAAGGTTTGCTGAGATCATGAAAATATGACTAGTACATACGTATATGAAATTCATTTTTCAAAATTCGACAGTATTTGAAGTATATCAATATGCAGAAAACGATCATCAACACTTGCTAGTTTTCCTATTTAGTGATGCAACGATTCAAATTGAAAGCAACCATTGATATCATACATATTATATGCATATATACTTTTATTATCATTTTGCGTGGCTTAAATTTTTTCACGAAGAAACTTCAAACGTCTAGACAAAAATTTTTGCATGACTTATATCGATCATATACGAGAGATGGAAATAATCAATTGAGAAAAAAAAAGTTTAGATAAGAGTTTTCACTTTACCAACATCTACTCCAAGATCAATAAGCGTAACTATTCTTCATTACATTGTTCTCAGCATGAGTATAAGATTTAGAAATATCAAATGTCTTACGGAATTATGTAACGGGTGGATCGAAAGTTTTCGCACAAAATGTTTGTTTATATCTGACCCACTTGAAAATATTTCAGACGAGTCGAAAACTATGGATTAAAACCAGAATTTTGTGCTATTTCTGAATATGAGCTTGGAAATTTTTTGTCAGTTTTTGTTCGAGAGTAGTGAGGGAATCTTTGAAAGGCCTGAAAAATTTGTTTGGACGGGAAATTTTTTCACACTTTTTTNCTGTTAATGGAAGGTTATGAGCAGAGGTCTGTTGAGGAGCATAATCATGTCGTTTTCCAATAATTATTGCAGCAACAAGACCTGAAACTCCTGATAGAATATGAACAACAGTTCCACCAGCGAAATCCAATGTTCCTAAAGTTTTTAACCAACCATTTGAACCCCAAACCCAATGAGCCATGGGATCATAACATACTGTAGTCCAAACGAGTATAAATATTATATAAGGCACCAACCGAATTCTACCAACAATTGATCCTAATAAATACTTTCATATTTATCATTTCAAATGAAGATAAAAAAAGATTTTGACTTACCAGATATAATTGCACATGTAATGATAGCAAATGTTCCTTGATATGTGGCATAAGTTAAAAGTGAAAAAGTTGGACAATAAACTGGATCAAATCGATCACCATTAAAACGTAATGCAGCTTCAGCAAATGATCCAAAACCAGGACTAACTGGATCACCGAATGCAAATGAAAAGCCAACTAATACCCATTGAACAAAAATAACTCCCATGCATAGAAAGGCTAAAAATAGTTGATTTAAAACATGTTTTCTATGAACTAAACCAGCATAGAAAATTGCCAAAGCTGGAGTCATCATTAATACTAATGCTGTTGCTGTTATCATCCAAGCAACATCTCCAGTATCTATTGGAATAGTAGGGGTAGCAGTGGTAGTAGTTTCAGTGGTACTGGTTACAGTAGTAGTTGTTGTGGTATCTGTGCTAGACATTGTGAATTCCGATGCCTTCAAATATGGAAATGGAAATATAAAACCAAGTATCTAGCTATTCGATCGAAGATTCAATAAAAAGAGTCAATCCTCAAAATATATAATGATGGTGTTTTTGTAAAAGAAGACCGAAAGACTGTGTCTCTGAATGTGTGACACGTTGTTTGTTTATGTAAAAACACCAACCAACAAAATGCTCTGATGATTATGGGCCGTCAGGTTTGATTAAATATCATCAAAGATGAGATAAAACACGCAAATTATCACTGATTGGCCGAGTGTATATATATTCATGTGTTTTGTTATTTTACTGACGTGACGAGGATAACGAATAAAGCACATGTATCAGGTAAAGGAATACTTTCTACCAACTGTAGTGCATATTTTTTCAATGGTTAGGCGCATAGTATTTGTTGGTAAAAGCTCGAATATTATGAACTTATCATTGCTAATGACGAGCAGTATGATAACCCATACCTGTCGGATAATTGGATGTCTTTACTTTTCCCGTTGTCTAATATGACATCACGTGTGCAGACATGTTATAACATTTTTTTTTCTCTATTCATTTTATATGGTTAACTATCTTAAAGGCAACCAGCCGTAACTTGTCGTGTTTTTCAAACGACCGATAAGATAAAACAAATGAAGATTTCAACCTTGGGCTAGAGATGGAGATTAACACTGAGTGCAAAAGCGTTTTCGAAAAAACTAAATCTGATGAAATTATTACGTTTCAGAAAATATCAAGCAAAAATAACTTTTTCTTCTTGAGAGAACAATCACAACCATACTAAATCGCTGTTCTGATTTGTGTGTTACGTGTTTTTGACCTAGATGAATGTGATCCGAGATTAAAGTGCAATTTTTTTTCGTATGCGTTTTAATATAAAGCGAGCATATTTTTGCGGAAAACTGGTTTTTAACTTGTGAACAAGGTTGTTTAGGTCGCAAAAATTGAAATACACTGAAGGAAAGAGTTTTTTTGCGAAAAATGCATCATTTTTCAAAGTATAGAAACTTTTCTATTTTAGTTCTTTTTTTAAATTGAAAATAAATGCCGCTGCGAATGAATTTGTCTTTTTGTTTAAACTTTATATACGTAATTTTCCATCTTTTTCACCATGATCAGGATATAAATATTTTAATATAAATTTGGCTATTATAAGCACAATTGTGAATATTAATCATTATACCATGACCAATTATGAAATAGAAATAAAATGATGTCGCCATGCTTTAATAACTGCTACTCAGTGTAATGATATAAATAAACATGGTTTATTTTATATGAATAAAGATACAAAATTAAATGGAGCTTTGAATAATTTTATTCGTTTGATTTTTTAGTCTTTTACGATCATTATCAGAAAATAAATATTAATGCCAGCTTGACTATCATAAATGTAATCTTTAGATATCAATCAATATACTATGACCATTCATAAAATAGAAATAAAATAATTTCACCATATTTCAATAGCTACTAATCAAAGTATATACTTTAAAAGAAATAAATAAACATGGTTTATTTTACATGAATATATAAATGAAAAAAGTGAAACAAATGTAGCTTCGAATGATTCTTTTTAATTTTTATTTCTTTAATGTTTGGTCTTTTTCAACTATTATCAGATACTAAATATTAATACAAACTTAACTATCAAAAATACAATCTGTGGATATTAACTATTATATCATGGTTTCTTATAAGATCGAAATAAAATGATTTCAGCATGTTTCAATAGCTGCTAATCAATGTATATATTTTAAAAGAAATAAATAGACATGGCTTATTTTACATGAATATATATATATATATATATATGTATGAAAATAAATGCAGCTACGATTGATAATTTTTCGATTTTATTTGTTTACTTTTTAATCTTTTTTGACCATGATCAAAACATCAATATTAATGCAAACTTGACTATAAGAAGTACAATCTGTAAATATTACTCATTATACCATGGCCATTTATAAAAATAGAACCATAATGATTGTAGCATGACTCAATAGCTGCTATTCAATGTATATATTTTAAAAGAAATAAATAAACATGGTTTATTTTACATATATACATAATATATGAAAATAAATGCAGCTTTGAATGATTCTTATTTCGATGTTATCTGTTTAATTTTTAGTTTTTTGCGATCATCATCAAAACATAAATATTAATATGACTTAACTATCATAAATACAACTTGTAGATATTAATCAGTATATCATGACCATATGTAAAATAGAAATAAAATGATTTCACCATGTTTCAAAAATGCAGCTTCAAATGAAAGTCTTTTTTTCTTTAAATTTTACATATTTAATTTCGGTCTTTTTCGGCTATCTTCATCCATGTCAAGAAAATCATGGCGATTTTGGTGATTTCAAAAAATATTAGCGTAAAATCGTGATTATTTGTATTTCCCAAAGAAAACGGTGATTAAAGTAGATTTTATCGTGATTATGGTAGAAGAAATGATTTTTGAAAATTGGCAACAAATCGTCGAGATAGATTGTGCTTAATCATTGATTTCGGTGATTGATTATGATTCATCAATTAATTAAAGAAATATTCCAAGATTTATAAAATTGAGACTCAAGTTTAATTTCTACACACTTTTTTAATAGAATCACAGTGATTTGAAACTCAAAACAAGATTTTGTTTCGATATGGATGTCACTACTGTGACATGAATCAGATTGGATAATTGTAAGAAACGGTCGAACTAGACTACCTAAACTTCTTCTCGTTCATTCACATTCATTTGCTTCAAATCATTTCTTTTTTGATAATAGATAGTTTACTTTAGATGTATTTTCAGATCAACTATTTTTCAATCAAAAGTCTTTTCGTCATAGATTCAATTTTAGATGATTTTATCAATTTCCAATTAATGTAAAGTCGAAAATTCATCTATACCATGGTGTCTTCAACTGTCATTTTGGTATGCGGTTTTGCTTCTCGTTCAGAATTTTTATTCATTTTCCTTGTAGATTATTAATTTATTAATAAAAAAAAACTAAGCGTAATGTTTTCCACGCTGTAAAAAATGAGCGGAGAATAATAAACGCTCACTATCCGTTATTGTCATTAGATAAACCCTTTTTTAGATTTATGAGCGCAATCTACCGTTTCATAAACCATTTTTCTTCATCAATCTTGGTAAGAGTTTGTTATACGTTACAAATTCATAAACTCTCTTATAGTATATGAACGGAATAAACCCTCATGTCCAAGGTTTACTGTTCTACACCGTTTTATGTGAAGTGCACAATGATAAATCTTGCCTCTGAAGGTTTATTCCATTCATATACTAAAATAGAGTTTATCAAGAATTAAAACAATAGAAGGGTTTATGAATTTGCAACGTATAATAAACCCTTGTCAAGATTGATGAAGAAAAATGGTTTATCTAATGATAAAAAGCGGATAGCAAGCGTTTATTATTCTTCACTCATTTTTTACAGCGCTAGACAGAGCGAATCTAAAACGTCAATGTCCACATATGAACATTGTATTATTTTTTCCTGTTTTTCGAATATGTTCTCATCTAACTATGCAAAATTGCATGTCGCGTTGTTCTTGTCGTTTTTATTACATATTCTGTCCATGTAAACTACTTAATATAAGCACTCAATATTTTTAATAAAAGTATTTCTTAATTCAAATTGATAGTAAGATATTCTGAATGTAACAGTGAAAATTAAATTTATATGCGTAAACTTGCACAAATTATCAATAAAATAGAGAACAACAATTGGTTATAAAGTCATCACTTATTACAAAAGTGGCCAAGATGACCAAAAAAATCGGTGATTTATCGTAATTCAGCACACGATTAATCGCCACCCATATGTTTCATTACGATCAAACTGCGACGCAGTTATGGCGTAACTGCGATCGCACTGTGATATTTTTTTCGCAGTTACGCGTAACTGCGTCGCAGTCGATCACAGTCGAATACATCGATTTTTTACTGCGATTAATGCGCCGCAGTTTAATATTTTAAAGAAGACTGGTCGAATAATTGCAAATCATTAGTGATATCTGTGAATGGTGATTTAGTGAACGACAATATAAACAAAAATTAATAATGAAATTACCATTTTAATGATTTTCATGTTAAATAATAATTGTTTCGACATGAGAACATCCATTTGTTTAGTTCTCGTGCTCGTTATTGAATTCATTTACAGAAAATAATGTTTTTGGGACAACTTTGTTATTTATACTATTTACAAATGATATTCGGCTATCGTTAGTGATTGGAGTCTGCACAAAACAGAGAACTGTTCAGTTAGTATGATATACGAAACCTGCTATGTTTCTTGCTTGTCATTAGTTGAAGAGGTTAGCTACCGGTATGCTGCTTACTTTTTTAAAAATTTTCTCTTTCAATGTCATTTAGAAATATATACAGTGACACTGATCTTCCTTTTCCGTTCAATTTTGGATCTGTGATTCTAATTAAGAGTAGCTGTTTAATAATTAATTTGTAGCGATTGGTTCGTTTAAGTAAAATTTTAAAATAATTTATATGAATACTATGATCTGCTGCAAGATAGGGTTTTGAAATAATTAATTTGAGCATCGAAGATTTTTTGTTATAAATTTGCAGTGTAGTGTTTTTCAAAAGTGTTTTAACGTCGTCTTTATTCAGTTTGAGATGTAATGATGAAAACTTTGCTGCTTGTATCGTGTTACAGGGCCTTTCCATGAAATAAGATGGATATAATGCATTTTTTGTCTTTTTAGATTAGATTTGGTGATTGTTACAATTGCAGATAAGACGTTTTTTTTTGAACTAGCATACACTCATTAATTCTTGTTTTTAGATGGTAATATATTGGACCGATATATTCTTTTTTACAACAGATGCATGCAGCTTCATAAACAACTCCAGATTTTAATTCATTAGGTACGATATCTTTTATTGTAAAGTTACGTCCAATACGGTCTTGTACTTCATTGATTACTCGTAGTCTTTTAAGTG